ACAAGAAAAAGCTCACATAAGCAACCTCAAACGACACCTAACAGAACTAGAAAAAGAAGAACAAACAAAGCCCAGAATCAGTAGAAGGAGGGAAATAATAAAAATAAGAGCAGAAATAAACGATATTGAAACAAAAAAGACAATAGAAAGGATCAATGAAACAAAGAGTTGGTTCTTCGAAAGAATTAACAAAATTGACAAACCCTTAGCCAGACTCACCAAGAAAAGAAGAGAGAAATCGCAAATAAATAAAATTAGGAATGAGAGAGGAGAAATCACAACAGATACCAATGAAATACAAGAGATCATAAGAGAATACTATGAAAAACTATATGCCAACAAATTGAACAACCTGGAAGAAATGGACAAATTCCTAGACTCCTACAATCTCCCCAAACTGAATCAGGAAGAAATGGAGAATCTGAATAGGCCAATCACAAGTAAGGAAATAGAAATGGTAATCAAAAACCTCCCCAAAAATAAGAGTCCAGGACCAGACGGCTTCTCTGGAGAATTCTACCAAACATTCAAAGAAGACTTAATACCTATTCTTCTCAAACTATTCCAGAAAATTGAGAAAGATGGAGTACTCCCTAACACATTCTATGAAGCCAACATCACTCTGATCCCCAAACCTGACAAGGACAACCCAAAGAAGAAGAACTACAGGCCAATATCACTGATGAACATAGATGCAAAAATCCTCAACAAAATTTTGGCAAACCGAATACAGCAATACATCACAAAGATTATACACCATGATCAAGTGGGATTTATACCAGGGACACAGGGATGGTTCAACATCCGCAAGTCAATCAACGTGATACACTACATCAACAAAATGAAAAACAAAAACCACATGATCATCTCAATAGATGCAGAGAAAGCATTTGACAAGATCCAACACCCATTTATGATAAAAACCCTCAATAAAATGGGTATAGAAGGAAAGTACCTCAACATAATAAAGGCCATATATGACAGACCCACAGCCAACATCATACTCAATGGACAAAAACTGAAAGCCATCCCTCTGAGGACAGGAACAAGACAAGGGTGCCCACTTTCACCACTCCTATTCAACATAGTACTGGAGGTGCTGGCCAGAGCAATTCGGCAGGAAAAAGAAATAAAAGGAATCCAAATAGGCAATGAAGAAGTAAAACTCTCGCTGTTTGCAGACGACATGATCTTATATATAGAAAACCCCAAAGAATCCATAGAAAAACTATTAGAAATAATCAACAACTACAGCAAAGTAGCAGGGTATAAAATTAACGTGCATAAATCAGTAGCATTTCTATACACTAACAATGAACTAACAGAAAAAGAACTCAAGAACTCAATCCCATTCACAATCACAACGAAAAGAATAAAATACCTTGGGATAAACTTAACCAAGGAAGTGAAGGATCTATACAATGAAAACTACAAGACTTTCTTGAAAGAAATAGGCGATGACATAAAGAGATGGAAAGACATTCCTTGCACATGGATTGGAAGAATAAACATAGTTAAAATGTCCATACTACCTAAAGCAATCTACAGATTCAATGCTATCCCAATCAGAATCCCAAGAACATTCTTCACAGAAATTGAACAAACAATCCTAAAATTCATATGGGGCAACAAAAGACCGCGAATTGCTAAAGCAATCCTGAGCAAGAAAAACAAAGCCGGCGGAATCACAATCCCCGATTTCAAAACATACTACAAAGCTACAGTGATCAAAACAGCATGGTACTGGTACAAAAACAGGTCCACAGATCAATGGAACAGAATTGAAAGCCCAGAGATAAAACCACACATCTATGGACAGCTAATCTTCGACAAAGGAGCAGAGGGCCTACAATGGAGAAAAGAAAGTCTCTTCAACAAATGGTGCTGGGAAAACTGGACAGCCACATGCAAAAGATTGAAAATTGACCATTCTTTTTCACCACACACCAAAATAAACTCAAAATGGATCAAAGACCTAAAGATTAGGCCTGAGACAATAAGTCTTTTGGAAGAGAATATAGGCAGTACACTCTTTGACATCAGTTTCAAAAGAATCTTTTCGGACACTGTAACTCCTCAGTTGAGGGAAACAATAGAAAGAATAAACAAATGGGACTTCATCAGACTAAAGAGCTTCTTCAAGGCAAGGGAAAACAGGATTGAAACAAAAAAACAGCTCACTAATTGGGAAAAAATATTTACAAGCCACTTATCCGACAAAGGGTTAATCTCCATAATATACAAAGAACTCACACGGCTTAACAACAAAAAAACAAACAACCCGATCAAAAAATGGGCAGAGGACATGAACAGACATTTCTCAAAAGAAGATATGAATATGGCCAATAGACACATGAAAAGATGTTCATCATCGCTAATCATCAGGGAAATGCAAATCAAAACTACACTAAGATATCACCTTACACCCGTTAGATTGGCAAAAACATCCAAAACCAAGAGTGACAAATGTTGGAGAGGTTGTGGAGAAAGAGGAACCCTCATACACTGTTGGTGGGAATGCAAACTGGTACAGCCACTATGGAAAACAGTATGGAGATTTCTCAAAAAGTTAAAAATAGAAATACCCTATGACCCAGCCATCCCATTACTGGGTATCTATCCTAAGAACCTGATATCAGATATCTCAAGAGTCCGTTGCACCCCTATGTTCATCACAGCATTATTTACAATAGCCAAGACGTGGAACCAGCCTACATGCCCAAAAACTGATGATTGGATAAAGAAGATGTGGTATATATACACAACAGAATACTACTCAGCCATAAAAAAAGACGAAATTGGCCCATTCACAACAACGTGGATGGACCTCGAGGGCATTATGTTAAGCGAAATAAGTCAGTCAGAGAAAGACGAACTCTATATGACTCCACTCATAGGTGGAAATTAGTATATTGAGAAGGAGATCTGATCGGTGGTTACCAGGGAAAAGGGGGGGTGAGGGGAGGGTACGGAGGGGGAAGTGGTGTACCCACAACATGACTAACAAAAATGTACAACTGAAATCTCACAAGGTTGTAATCTATCATAACATTAATAAAAAAAAAATTAAATACTTTGTACATCAAAGGACACATCAACAGAGTCAAAAGGCAAACCACAGAATGGAAGAAAATATTTATAAATCATACATCTGATAAAAGAGAGTAATATCCAGAATATATAAACAAGTCCTAAAAAACTCAACACATAAATAACCCAATTAGAAAATGGGCAAAGGACTTGAATAGACATCTCTCCAAAAAAGATATACAAATGGCCAATAAATACCAGAAGATGTTCAACAGTAATCATCAGGGAAAAGCAAATCAGAATCATGAGATAGCACTTCATGCCCATTAGGATGGTTACTAAAAACAGAAAATACTAAGTGTTGGGGAGGATGTGGAGAAATTCACACCCTTATGAATTGCTAGTGGGATTGCGAAATGGTGTAGTCATTGTGGAAAACAGTGTGGCAGGTCCTCAAAAAATCAAACATGGAATTTTCACATGATACAGTGCTTCCACTTCTGAGTGTGTATATATATATATATATATATATATATATATATATATATATATATATACTTGAAAGAACATAGACTCAGATGTTTGGACTCCCATGTTCATATCAGCATTATTCACAATAGCCAAAAGATGGAAACAACCCAAATGTTTATCAGTGGGTAAACAGATAAACCAAATGTGGTATATATACATACAATGAAATATTATTCAGCCTTAAAAAGGAAGGAAATTCTGATGAACCTTGAACATAGTATGCTAAGTGAAATAAGCCAGACACAAAAGGACACGTATTGTATGATTCCACTTACATGAGTTACTTAGAGTGGTCAAAGTCATAAAAACACAAAGTAGAATGGTAGTTACTAAGAGTTGCAGAAGGCAGGGGAAATGAGGAGTTATTGTTTAATGAGTACAGAGTTTCAGTTTGGGAAGATGGAAACTTTATGGAGATGGATGGTAATGGTTCCATAATGTGAATCTACTGAATGCCATTGAACTGTACATTCTTAAATGGTTAAAATGGTATACTTTATGTTACATATTTTACAATAAAGGAGTAAAACAAAATGTGAACTCAGCAAAAAAGAATAAGAAAACAAATACAGCAACTCATAATATGGACTGACCTTTAAACAAAATGTTAGCTCAAACAAGCAAACTTTGATTCCATTTGTACAAAGCCCAAAAATACGCAAAACCAAGCATGTTCTTTAGAAATTCACACACAGTATGTATGGTTTTAAAAAAAAACACACGAGAGAATGACTACTTCAGGAGTCAGGACAGTGGTACTGTTACCTCTGGGGTGACGGAGAGGGGATATAATTTGGTAGGGGCACAAAGGTGGCTTTTAAGGTACTGATGAACTTAGGTTTCTTACGCAGTGAGTACACGGGTGTTTTAATTATTCTTGGAACTGTAATATGTTTCATATAAATCTGTATATGATATATCACAATTTTTTTAAAAGGCAAAATGAACCCCCCCCACCACCACCACCACCAGAAAAGTCAAACTTGTTTTACTTCCCAGATGGTTTATATTTTGGAGTAAGTCTGGAAAATCTAAAAGTGCCACAGTGATTACCTTTCAGTCTTCTGAGGATTTTTTTTTTTTTTTTCAAAATAGCATCTATTCTGCTTTCCCTCCCAGAAGCTAAATGGTTCCACTTTATTCTCCTGGATGTTTTAAGGCTATGGACCCGAGCAGGCCTACATTATGACACTGCCTGGTAGTAACTTCTCACCATAAAACATTCACTAGATATGAGTTAAATGTCCTTATGAACTTGTTAGAAAATATCCATAAATAATGTTTATCTGGCAGATTTTTTAATGAGTTTAAAACATTATTTTGATGTAAATATGATTGTTCACAAATTAACACTATCTAACCAATAAAATTTGAGCTCATTCAGAGCCACAAATTCCAACAGAACTTTTGAATCTCTAAAAATAAAACGCAGACACACAGATAGGCACAGTATTTAATCGAAATATATTTGTCTAATATCTACAAAGTGTGAACAATTGGTCTTAAGAAAGCAGACAAAAGGCACAAAAATTAGTATTACTACAGAGAAGCATTCATGCTACTGGATTTTATAAATATTCTCATTTGAGTGGCACAGTAAAAAATAAATTAAGCATTGAACAAAAATCAAATACTTCATTTTTTTCCCTTGATTTAAATTCTAGTCATGTCTTGACCTCATTTGTAAAGGCTGGGGACTGAAATTCAACTGAAACCATGGGACACTTATGCAGGCTTTATGTATGTTTTAATCACAGTGGTTTTGTGGCAGAGTTTGGGTCACACAAGAGAGGTGCACTTAAAAAAATCCACTGGAAATTCTTTTCTCTTTCCCCAAAGTAAACATGAGATTGAGGCTGTGGTTGTACATGTTTGTATATGCATGCATGTATTTAATTTCTAAAGCCCTTTTTTCATCATAAAAGTAGTGAAGTCTCCATTGACTTGTTTTCTACCATAAAAGCAGCAGCTTCTGAAAAATGTATGACTAGTGCTTTGAGCATGAGAAATTGTCAGAAAGGTTCTGGGGCAAGTAGATGGGAGGAAAATTCCAAACTGGGCCTGGCTCTAGGTTCTCCCAGAGGTGCTCCATCCTGAAGGCTCTGGCATCAACCTTTAACTCCCCATCCAGCAGGAAATAACAGTTTATCTTTCTTGAGTATGCACAAACGAAATGTTGAAGTGGGAAGGGAGGTGGGACTCACAACAATAATTTTGAAATGATAGCCACCTATACACTTCTCCCAGGAATGAGCCATTTTCTGCCATGTGGACATCAATTGGGCCATGCCAATTCACCTTTGTTGTGACAGGAGTTGACCACATGAGAATACCTTTGTGAGTGCAAAACTTTTGGCAAAGTGAAAAATAGAAAACTTCAAACCTCATTGATAAAAAGGAGCTCATAATTACCCACTTAAATCTTGGTAAGTAGTATTTACATGTGTAATAATACTCAGCAGACGTGTATATAGTGCATGTGTGTGAACACATAGTGTGCCAAGAGCTCACACACAAACCTGTGTACACACACATGCCCGAAATGGCTCTTGAATAAATTCAATCCTCTAGCAGAGCTTGGGGGTGCATTTTTCACAGTATGTAGTTTCTCTCTTAGGTGCCATCTCTTGAGTGATATCAAGAGGTCTCAGGGAATACCAGCAGAACCTTGATACCGTACCACTTTAATTCCTAGAAAAACAGGGCTATTTCTGAAAGCTCGGCACCTCCACGCCATCAGTGTGCCTTCTAAAGGGGATTGAAGTACACCCAGCCGTCACCCTGTAAGAGAAGGAAGCAGATATTACATGGAGACCTCTGTGGGGAAAGGGGAGAAGCAAAGACAGTCCCCAGCCTCTGCTAGGTCAGAAGCCAGGTACCACGCACAGCAGTGCTCCGTCAGCATCTGTTCAGGATTTACCACCAAGATGTCCCTGCCTTGTTCCCGATATCTCACAGCCATGCCACACTGTTGGTCTCACTACCCCTCCTCTGCCCGGTTGCTCTTTAGAGCCCATAGGATCCTCACATCTTGGCATTTCAGGAGGAAACCCCATGAAATGACTGAAATAACAAAAGAAGGAGGGCTTTGTTGGTTTACATCAAGAAAGATTAGTTGGCAAAAAAAAGGTCTTTGAAACAACGGGACAGGAGAAAAAAGAGGGTGATTGGATGAAAGGTCAGGGGAGAGAAAGGGCAAGGGCCTGCAGATGCAGAATTTGCCCAAACCAGCAATTTACAGCCCACCAGCCTGGAGGTGAACGCCCAACAAAGGATCTCTTCAGTAGGTGGCTGTCACAAACAAATCAGCACACAAGAAATGACACTGATCAAGTATCTGCGAGGAAAAGGCAAGAAGCAAAATGGTCTACACACCTGGTGCTAGAGTAGAAGGAAGACAGTGAATGGAAACAATTCTGGTAGGGGATGATGTTTGTTCTTCACATATCCTCAAGCCTTCTGTTATGAACATACTGGCTTTTATGAAACCCAGGGCGCAGAACTGTATGTGTTTCTTTGTTGTCGTCATTTTGTTTTTTAACATGCAACTTAAAAAGCCAGCCAAACTAAGCTGTCTCAGAGAGACCAGGTCCCCCTCACGGCAGGATCCTTGAAGGATTTGGTGATGGTGAGTTTTATGTGTCAACGTGCCTGGCCACGGGGTGCCCAGATCACACATCATTTCTGAGTGTGTCTGTGAAGGTGTCTGCAGAGGAGCTTGGTTTTTGAATCAGTGGACTGAGTAGATTTCCCCCCACCCCAATGTGGGTGGGCATCACTCAATCTGCTGAGGACCTGGAAAAAAAAAAAAGGCGAAGGACGGAGGAATTTGCCCCTTTTTCCTGCCTCACTGCTTGAGTTGCAACATCTCATCTTCTCCTGCCTTTGCACTGAATTACACCACTGGCTTTCTGGGGTCTCCAGCTTGCAAATGGCAGATCCTGGGGCTTCTCAGCATCCATAATCTCATGAGCCAACTCCTCATAATAAATCTCTATATGTTTATATCTCCGATTGGTTCTGTTTCTGTTCTGTTTCTCTGAAGAATCCTGACTAATACAGATTCACCTCAGCTGGCGAGGCTTCCCAGGGTTCCCGCTCAGAGTATCAGAAGGACAGAGCCTCCCCAGGCGGGCTCCCTGTGTGAACCAGAATCCAACCCCAACGCCTCCGTTCAGTCCAGAGCCCTCGTTCCTGCCTCTGGGGAGGACAGCGGCTGCTTCCAGAAGTCCGCCTCAAGGGGACTGACTCACCCTGCAGCCTTCTAGCCACACAGAGTAATCCTTCCTTGTAGCAGAAGTCAGACATTAGCAGTACCTGGGCCAAAGAAAGCCCAGACATATTTCAATTGGCTTTCAGTGTTTACATTGTTTAAAATTCCTTGACACCATGCAAATATCAGATTTCTCATTAAAAAATTCAGATTTCTGGCTTCTTGTGAAGAACTGGACAATCCAAGTATGACTGCCTTGGGGTAAGTGGCATCCACCCTCTTTAGATATGGACTCGAGTCTGCTCCATCTATTTCTCTCATTGATGCTGCCAGGCTCCTGGGGGCCTGCCTTAAAAACTGTGGCTCCTACACTTCTATTATTTCCAGTTCTGTTCTCAGAATGATTCTCAATCGCTCCAAAAACAACTTCAAGAGCATAAGGGCCTCACCTGGGCACACAGTGCCTTGCCCACTTGCCTAGGGAGGTGGGGTGAACAGTCATGTGGATATTTCTGCCTTCCAATGTCACTTTCCAGGTGACAGCAGCAGCATTTTAGGCACAGGACTCATGCTGGCCTTTCCTAGCTGTCCATCCCATTTGGCCCACAGGAGGAACAGCTCTGAAAGGGTGGTTTCTCTATCAAAAAGGCTCCAGCCCACCCAGATGTGGAGATGGGCAATGAGGTGCTTCACGATTAATTTATTACTAACGGTAAAGCAGCAGGGGTTGTGAAGGTTGTGGGTTTTTTGTTTTTGTTTTAAGTAGGACAGCACCCACGTCTGCACTCCCTTTCCTTGCCGTCCCTGGCAGGCTGATGGGCTTTTCTGATGGAGGATGCCAGAGTGGAACTGTTAGGTGCTCAGTTCTGCCGTGGGAGGGCCTGGCCCAAAGCTGGAATGGAGCCAGGCTGCCCCAAACATCCCCAGGTCCTCCCTTGCCCTATCCTCTGTCATTCAAACTGCAGCATTAGCAACACATCCATCTCCCCTCACTCAGGACAGGCAGCAGAGTTACCTCCTGGATAAAATACTTGGGCTGCCATGGTGTGCGGAGGTTTTCCCGCTTCCGTTCCTCCACCCGCTGCTTCTCCTCCAGGCACCGCTTCTGCTCCGTGGCAGCGTCAACGTCCCCCAGCCGCAGGTATCGGGTCACCTCCCGCCAGAGGTTCCTGGGGATGCATGGAGGAGAGGAAATGCTCAGGTGAGGACAGCTGGCCCAAGGATGACAGTCCTCGGCAAGGAGGGGCCGGAGCAGGGATGGTGGCATCTGGGCAGGCCACCTACAGGGGCCGCTCCTTCCCAGTGCCTCAAAGACCCCAAGAGCCAGGACAGCAACCCAGGGCTGCCAGGCCCCAGCCCCAGGTCCGTGCTGCCTCCACGCTCCTCTTGTCCTGAGCAGCATGCCTCCCTCAGGGCACTGCGTGTCCAGGGGTTGAATCTAGTGGTAGGAGCAGCAGTAAGCAGCAGCACTACTACTAGAAACAGCAATAGCGGGCACTTACATGGCACTTACTATACTGCTAAGCATTTTATACATATATATTAACTCATTTAATCAGCACAACAACCCAGGGATACAGATGCTCCATCACCCCCACTTTAAAGAGGGAAAAAATAATATCCACATAAGATGAAGTGACTTGCCCAAGATCACCGAGCTGTAAAGATGAACAATGACTGCTTTCCCCCAAGGGAACTGGTATTAGGAGCTATAGACCTGGGGGCAGGGTGGGGGCAGGGGGTGGTTTATGCTGCAGGATCTGTCATCTCCCCCACCTCTACACGGAAAGGCACTCCTCCGCCTCATGCGTTCACTGTAGAAGGCAGCCTAGACTGGCTCCTGTCTGACAGGAGGCCCTGTAGCTTTCCTCCCCTGGACTATCCCCAATTCACACACATTGTTCCAGAGGGTGAGGAAGGAACCAAGGTAATGCAATTCCTCACTTAACACACCAGGACAAGTCGGGACTCCACCCAGAAGGAGCCATCAGAATTCTCAGCAGCGAGCTCTCCCTCCCCGGCTTTGAGGAAGGGCTGCCTCTGCGGCCAGGGGGACGCAAGTGCTGGGGAATTAGATCCGGCCAGCATCTGGGAATCACATCTACTCCCCTATCAGAGCGCCCTTGACCCTGTCTGTGGGAGGGCCTTGCATAGTGGGGAGCCTTGAGTGTTGGCGTGATCAGGCTGAAGAAGGGCAGGGGGCTGCCAGCAAAGTGGGGACACCGAGCAGCCCTTCTGAGGGGCATCAGAATCAAGGAACTGACGAGGGTCAAGCTCCTGCTGCAAGATCAGCCTGCCCATTGGACCAGCCCCAAGTCCAACCATACGGAGACCCAGGGACAGCAATGCTCTGGTTCCCATTTTACAGCAGGAGAAACTTCTGGAACTGGGATACAAGGCCAGGTCTGACCAGCCTCACAGACCTTGCTCTTTCTCTGTGCCCTGATATCTGACTTAAGAGGGAAAAACAACTCGCGAAACAGTGCAGTGAGTTGAAGGAAGGAAACAGTGAGGGGCTGGAACAAATCTCATCACCTCCACCCTCAACATACATCCCGTGCTGAGGGAGGGGCTGGGCACAAGGACATCCTGGGTAGGGGGTGCTCTCAAGGGCAGGGCCTCCCATGATAAGTCTTATCATTAGCTAGTGGCCTCAAGTTTAGAGGGCAGAACCCCAAGGACTGCAGAGGGGGTGGTGAGACAAGATCTGGACCCAGACAAAGGGCTCTGCCTAGACACACACAGGGACCCAACCAACAGAGCCATCTGAAGGTGCGGGGTAGTGGGGTGGGGCTGGGGGCTCATGTGGGGAAGACTCTGAACTTCAAGCCAAAAGAAAAAGCAGACAGGACAGGAGTCTTCAGAGGGCGGAGGAGTGGGAGCAAGTCAGTGAGAAAAGAAAGCCAAGGGAAGGCCCTGCTGAGAAGGGGCGGTCAGCATGGCAAAGGGCCGGGGAGTGGTTGAGGCAGGGCATGGCTGGCATCACTGGGAACTGGCTCTGACTTTACCCACGGGGGCACCAGGGCTCTGGTCAAGGCAGGATGGCCACTCAGACCAAGCTATGGGCATCATGAGCTAATTTACAGGAGTGGGCAGATGATAAAATATTTTCACTCCTCTCCTAATGGGGCAGTGGTTACCTTCCAAGGGAGCTAGTTCGAGCCTGGAGGCTTCACCACGGCCAGAGCCCTCATGAGGGCTGAGACGCCTGTTCTAACCACTGGCCCACCTAGCCATACAAATGGTCTCTCCTTTGCCTCTGCAGGTAAGGCCCAGTGGGGTGAGAAGGCTCAGGTGCTCTGAGCAGAAAGAGAGCCTCTGGACCAGCCACTCCAGCTCTCAGGGCTGGTTCCTCTCTGGAGAACGGAGTGGGCTAGGCTCGGTTTCCCCACAGCCCAGCTCCATGTTTCAGTCAGGTCCACATATGAAGACAGAAGAGGTAATATTCCTCTCTCTTACTGTGGTATCAGACTCCATCCTTGCTCCAGGCTAACTTCTGAGTCGCCATGGGCTAACTGAGTAACTGAGGCAGCAGAGAGAGTCTCAATGAGGAGCAGCTCAGCTACTCTGATATCCTTGGAGGAAGAGCACGAGGTAATCACAATTTCGTTCTCAACAGCCAAACCAGAAACAAGTCTGCCATGAGATGAACCACAGGGCTCCTGACTCTGGGAAGGCGTCATCAGAGGCCGTGTAGGCAAGAGGATGGGTTTCTTTCCTATTGCAGCCCGTGCCTTGTCCCGCTATCACCACCCAATCGGCTGGGCTGAAAAAGCCAGTGGGTGAAAGTTCATGCCCTCCATTTGGACACAAAGAAGGTTACACTCACTGTCCTCAAATAAACAGACTAACAAGGAGGAATGTACTAATCCTACAACACAGCAAAGGCTCCAGGGACACGGAAGCCCCGTGGTTACTAAACGTGTGTAGAATAATGCATTATTTCTACACACCATTGTATCCCAGCTGTGCTTCCACATAACAAGCGCTTCTTCTATCTGGTTACATACTCTTCTTGTGATGCCTGTCCTCTCACAGAATCACCTGTCATTTCATTTTAAGCCCACATCTCCTTTCTAAAGAGCAGCACGCTTTTAGATAAGGGCAGGGGTCAGCACACATTTTCTGTAAAGGGCCAGATAGTAAACATTTTAGGCTTTGCAGGCCGATGGTCTCGGTCGCAACCACTTAACCGCCATCGTGGCAGGAAGGCAGTTCCTGTGTAAACGAATGGTCACAGCCGTGTTCCCACAAAACTTCACGAACCGAGCCATGGGCTGGATTAGGCCAGGGGCCATCGTCTGCTGACCTCCTGGATTAAAAGGCGAAGACGGCATATTCCAAGCAGCTTCCGAAGCTCGTGTGCCTGTGTGAACATCACTGGGAGTGGCTGCAGCAATTCACGGCACAGAGCCAACACTCTCACTGAGTGGACACGCCACAATTTACCTAACCATCTTCCCATCGCTGGACAGTGAGGTGGTTTCTTTTTCTTTCGTTTGTTTGTTTGGTTTTCTTTTTAAAAAACTACCCAATTTTATATTTAAAATTTTTTCTGAATTTAAGAATTTTCCCTTAGAATAGATTCCCAGAAGAGGAATACAAGATTCAAGTGAAATCATGAACGTAAAGCTACTGATCCATGCAGCTGAACTGTACACCTTCCTACTGTTAAGCAGAGGGTGTAGAGTGTCCATTTTATCACACGCTTGCCAGCACTGAAATTTTGTTTAATATGTTGCTAATCTGGTAAGAAAAAAAAAGTATCTCATTGGATCACTGCATAATTCTTTGATTACTAGCTACTCTCGGTACATAACTTTGCAATTAAGCAACAGAACAGTTGAGTTGACAACCTCTTTTAGCACAGGCATTAAAAGTCTGCTGTAGGGGCCGGCCCCACAGCCAAGTGGTTAAGTTCGCGTGCTCAGCTTTGGTGGCCCAGGGTTTCACTGGTTTGGATCCTGGGCGTGCAGACCTAGCATCGCTCCTCAAGCCATGCTGAGGCGGCGTCCCACATAGCACAACTAGAAGGACCTGCAACTAGAACATACAACTATGCACTGGGGGCGCTTCGGGGAGAAGAAGAAAGAAAAAAAAGAAAGTGTGCTATAGACCGTCTTCCCACGCCATCCCATAAATGCAGAATAACTAGACCGAAAGCTTCAAAGGGTCTACTCCTAAGAGACACCAGTGGAAAATTCAAGTATCTAAAGCAGCCAGAAGAACATGATTCCTAGCCCATTTCCACTTGCTGAGCATTCAAAGGCTTCCTCTCTGGTTCCTTAGGTCAAGTGCTGAGGCCAGCGAAGTTGGAGAGAAGCACACGGCCTGATTCCCACCTGGACTCCATGGGCCCCTGCTTCTCCAGGGGTCTGATCTTCTTCGGGTACACTGGCAATGTGGTTGTATCGATGACTTTGGTTTCTCCGTTGTTGTAGGTGAACTCTAAGGTACCGTTCCACTCCCCGTGGGCCTTACAAACGATGGTGTTGGTTGGGTTGTGCTTCACTTCTGCTGTGACCCTGAATTAACAAATAAGTCAAAAGAAATCGCTTTGTGAGATTATCAAAACAGAGACTGACCTCAAAAGCTGTACTCACATTTAGAGACTTTTTTTATGGGATGACAGGGAAGAGGGATTGGTTTTTTGCTATTTTGCTCAAAGACTAGCTCTTAAAATGTGATCTAACATCCTTGAACAGAAAAAGAAAGCACTGCTGGAACAAAATGGTGAGATCTGAGTCAAGTCTGTAGATTAGTTGACAGTAATGCAGCAATGTTAATTTATTAGTTTTGATAAACATGCAAAGGTTATATAAAATGTTATTATTGGGGTGGAGATCAAGCCTTTCAGTAGAGACAAAATATACCCTTCTCCTTCCCAAAATAGCATCTAATAGTGCTACTTGTTTTGGTGAGGAAGATTGGCCCTGAGCTAATATCTGTGCCAATCTTCCTCCACTTCTGTATGTGGGTTGCCACCACAGTATGGCTGACAAGTGGTGTAGGTCCACGCCCAGGATCTGAACCTGCAAACCTGGGCCGCCGAAGCAGAGCATGCCAAACTTAATCATTATGCCACCAGGCCAGATCCCTAATAGTGCTACATGTTAACCACCAAAGGAGCATAGGGAGGGTAGGGATACTTTTTCAACCCTTAAACAAGGTCGATTCAGCCTGTGGGTCAAATCAGGCTGCCTTTGGGAAGGCTGCCCCAAAGCAGCCAAGTGTAGGAACTAAGCTCCTCTCTTCTAACAGGCCAGCTCAGCTTGAATTTAGAGTTTTCAAACACAGCCTTGGAAGCTTTTCCCTGAGCCTGAACAGGCCACGGTTCCTAGGTGGCAAGGCAAAGGCTCACGGGCAGCCTCAGGAATCTTCTGGCTGCACACAGTGGAAGGGTGTTTAGGGCGTGCTGGTAAAGGTTTAACAGCTGGCTCTCCAGGAGGGAAAACACCTGACTTGTAGCACCTGCCAATTTCTGCAGTGGCAAACCACTGCCGATTTCAAGCTACCCAAGTGGTACAAGGGACTGTGGGGCTGGAGAGAAATGCACACAATTCTGTAGCCAGTGTGTGTGGCTCCAAAATGGCCTCTGAGGGCGTCCACTGTCCTGGGCGACACTCTGATACCTTCACATGAACAGTACAGGAAAACACTTTCCAAGAAAAAGGGCAAAGATGGGAGCCGGCTTATATGGAGATCTGCTCCGAAGGAGGAAGTTCTGTAACTGTCGCAATCAAAACAACTTTACGCATCCCTCAAACAGCAGACTTCTCCTTCGATTTCTTAGGATTGGGCTGCCCCAGCTTCTAAAAGGAAAAAAAAAGTCCTGATCTCACAGAAGACAGGGGATTCAGGACACTTAATGGAACCAACTTAACATGAAATGGGGAGCTCTCGGGCAGTGCCCGAGCTCACAGATCAAACTGCTTCCCTACAGAGAAACAGGCTGTGGCCTCAGAAGGGAAAGTTTATTGTCACAAATGGAAAAGCCTTTTGTTCTCTGGTGTGTGTTCTGCAAATACGTCGTTTAGACGGGGGGGGGGGGGGGGGTGCTCAAAAAAACTGCCACGTGAGGGGGAAAAAGGAGGCGCCTCTTCTGAAAAAGATCTGTACCTTTATCTTGATTTTCAACTCATCCCGTGGCTGGAACCCAATCTTCTAATGGAGAAAAGAAACTCAGAGCATCATAATAAGACAAAGATGGAGCCTTCCTGGCCTCCTCCTACCTGTGGACTTTCCCTCCGTAAAAAGGCTTCGTGTGGAATGTCACCGTGGCCGAGTACCCGGTCTTGGCGCAGCTGATGCTGACTTTTCCACCTAGCTCCACCCAGGGGATGGTGAGAATGGAGCGGGCGTAGGCACTAGGCAGGGTGAACACATACTCCTCCCCGTGTTCCAGGAGCCTCAGCACACCTCCAGGGAGAGAGGAGGGAAGGGTTAGGTACACAGACATGAGAAAAAGGCAGCTGGGGATCAAAAGACAAAGAAAGATGAGAAACCAAACCACCTCCTGCGATGGATGCCGTGTCTCCCACCTTTGCAAAGGTCAGTCACTCATTCACCATGTGCTTATTTACTGTGTGCTCTGCTGTGTGCCAGGCACTGGGCAAGGCACTAGGAATACAAGGGTGAACGAGACACACCCACTTTCTGCCCTCAAGGAGCACAAGAGAAAGGAGGATACTAATTAATCACCTGGCAAACACAAAATTCTAACTGTGATGAGGACGGGAGGGAGAGGTACCCAGTGCCTTGGAACCCTCCAACAGGAGTTGAGCTGGAAACAGAAATTTCCCTAAGGAAGGGACACTTGATCTGGATAAGCAGTTGAGTAGGTCAAGAGGGGAGGGAACAGTCCTCTAGGCACAGGGAAGAGTATGTGCAAAGGCTCTGTGGTGAGGAGCCTGGTAAGCACGAAGGGGCTGAGAAAAGGGCCCTTATACAGAAATGGAGGTAGTGTGTACAGGCGTGAAGGCTGGCCAGGTCAGTGGGGGCCAGATCTTGTCTTTTAAACTTCGAAAAAGCACGTTAAGGAGTTTTCCCTTTATCCTGGGAGCAACGAAAACAACCTCAATGGTTCTCATGAAATGGGAGAAATCAGACAGCACAGCTGCTATCGGCAGGCTCGGGCAGACGCATGCCATGAGCAGGAGCTGGACAGAGCCCACGCACCTAGAGGTTCTCCATCCTAGGATCCAAGCCTTATGCCTAGGGAGGTCTTAATTCTCTTCAAACAATGCAAAATTTGTGGGTTTGTCTATTTTTCTAGGGAAAAGGGCCACCCCCCAAAACGCATAGACTCCCAGGGTGCTGTACAGTTTGTGCACTGCACACAGGTGCCCATCGAGGGCTGAAATCCAGCCCTGGCTTCGGCTAGTCTGGCTGGGCACCCACAGGGCTGCCTCTGTGCCGAGAGGCTGCATTTTGCTTCACAGAGAGGCCCTGAGAACCAGGCTATGGGCTAAGATTTGTTCTGCTACAGCATCGTCTTAGCATCCCATTCCAGCGCTGGGGCTCAGCTCCCTGAATAACTCTACTCTGGCTCCTTCTGGCCTGGTGATGATCCAGGGTCCTGTGAGCCTCAGGAAGGAAACTTCTGTCCTTTGGCCAGACAGGGGAGACCAGAGGTGGTTAGTGGTGTTCCCTCCCCAGGCTCCGGGTTCCTCCGGTGCAGAGAGTGAGGAGTGGGGTCAACAGGACCCACATATGGCACCTTCTGGCTGCCAGGCGTTCCTGGGGGCTTCACACGCATTCCCTCCCTCAGCTTTACAACCTCTCTCTGTGGCAATAATTACTACTGTCTTGCAATAAGGATGAGAAAATAAACTCAGGTTAAGTAACTGGCTGGTTACTACTTCTCTCTTAGGCTGGACAAGCATCTAAATCACTCAGAGCTGGGACTTGCCCAGGAGAGAGATGAGTGTGTGTGTGTGTGTCTTTTAATACTGATGAGCTCCTGGGGATCTGAGGAGAGACGGCACTAAACGGCACAGAGGAGTCAGGAATGCTGAGTCTCTAAAGTCAAGAAGAAGATGGGTTTAACTATAACTCCATTTACCCCTGAAAATCCCTTTCATCAGCACGTGCTACCGTCTGTAGATAACACACTGGGCTTAACTGAGAGTGAGGTTGCTGGTCCTGACAAGTCCAGGAAAGGCAGCTCTGCCCTCCTCAGAAACACACGACTGGTCTGTAAACCCGGGGGATGTGCCCGCATGTGTATAGCGGAGTTGATCACTCCCAGGGGAAGGATGCTCACACACGTGGGGACAGGCAGGAGCTGAGACCAGCAAGGAGAAATGGATTTGTGGGTCACACACGATCACATGGTCAGCAGTGGAGGGTGGATATCACATTTAAATCTTTCTCTCCCTGGCCAGGAACGTAACTGAATATGTGTGACATAAACGTACAAACAGCATGACTCCACTACAGCATATATACTGAACCTCAGAACAGACTGACCCCCTCTACTTCCCCAGCTTTCATCATTGCAGTAACCCATCCTCCTACAAGGAAAGCCCCGGGCCACCTCATGCTCCCACTCTGACACTCGTCTCTCCTCCTATGCCTCAGAGATGAGAAACACCCCAGATGACCCGTGAGGCCCTGGCCTCCACAGGCACATGAGGGAGGACCATCGCGTGCCTGGGAGGAGAATTAGACTTTAGTATCTCAATCCTTATAGTTTCCGATCAGGACCCTGGGAGGAGCATGGTCAGTCTGATAGAATTCTGTTTCAAAGCTGACTTTGTGTCTGACTTCCCTGAATTAGGTTGCTCAGGAAGACAGCCCAAAGCAGGTGGAAAATTGCAGCTAATGGCAAACCAAGGTATGACACCAACAGTCAAGAAGAACCGGAAGTGAAAGCTGACGAGAGGGACGTCACCTCAGATTTCTCTCTCTGCCCCAGTTCTATTCACAAGCCTCCGGTTCCTCGAGTGCCAGCCCCATTCTCATAGTCTCGGAGCCTGTGGCAGCTGGGAGATGCCCCTGGGACCCTGTAGAAGAGGCTGGCAGACCCTCAGTCACCCTGCCTTCAAGGCCCCGGAGAAGCTTCCCTAGCCCCCAACCCTGCCCTCCATGCTAACAGACTCCTTGGTAGTAAACCCGTTCCAGGTGGTCAATATGTCTGCCCGAAAGCACCGCCTCGCCCTGATGTCTGTGGCGTCCTGATTTGGTGGTTAGTCCTTCCAGTCACTAACTGAGGGTACCTGGGGGACTCGCCCACTGGCACGTCTTGCCAGCAGCCTCTCTCTTCAGAACAGGACCACACACAGCCATGAGCTCCCCATGCTAAGCCTTCCTGGTCTCGTTCACAAACATCAGCTTCGTGAGGTAGGACCGTACACTGACATTTTCTTTGCAATGTATTTACACAGAGAACATGTCACAGGTTTTTTTAGAGACTCAGATGAGATCTTAGAGGATCCTTCCAAGTCCTCTGTCACTCACTAGCCTGGTGACCTTACCTTCTTGGCGCCTCAGTTTTCTCATCTGTGACACAGGGGTAGTGGTGTCTGTCCCTCACAGGGCTGTGGTAAGGATGAGAAGGCAGTTCTAAAACTCAGCTGAAAGTACGCAGCCTGATACACTGCCAGAATCCGGAAAGTTCTATGTTCTAACTGCCCCTCGCTCTCCAAAGCAGCTCTCTCGATGGGTGTGAATCCTTAACAGTGGCATTTCCACTTGGGAATAGAGAGGAAATGACAAAGTCTGGTGGTAGGTCATGCACATGAGGGATGAAGAGACAGGTGGGAGGTATCTGCCTCCCACTCATCTCTAGAAAAGTCTCTCTCAAACCAACGTGAAATTTCCCTCCAGCTCACAGAAATCATGTGAGTCCCAAGCTCGGCTGGTCTGGGGGCCCTGGCGACACCACACTCCTTGGGCTCTTTTCTGAAAATCTATACATGTGGGCTTACTCAGTAAATCACCTGTAATTGTGCCTTCTCAGTACTAACTCTTTTTTTCAGAGTTGCATAAAAAAAAAAAATCTGTCCCTAATAGGAATAAAAGACTATACTCTAACTGGACTTACCAACAGAGTCACAAATTAATCAGCCTCAGAGCCGCGAGAAGCGGGAAAACGCCAAAGAATCCATCTCTCCACGCCGCGCTTAGTCCTCAGGCGGGGAGATTTTGGTTTTAAATCCCGCAAATTGACTTACCAATAAACAGAAGGCAAAGCACTAAAACTGTCAAAGTGATACATTTAAAACAATTTCGCATGTGTTCTCAATCTAAGGAACCAAAACATTCCGTTAGGACATTTACTCCCGGAAAGCACAGAATCACAGCAAGTGACACTGGGGACCTGGGCCCGCAGGCACTGGCAGCACCGGCACTCATCAGCACCGAGCAAACGGGTCAGTTCTCTTCCTAGAACGAATTGCCTTTGCCCCCAGACTTGATTAAGGGGCTGTGCCGTATAGTGGGCGCCGGTTCTGGAGATTGGGGGGAAGCGGGCTGCAAGAGTAGTTGAACGCCCCTCGGCTCCCCAGCAGAGTGAGCAGGGGTGAGCAGTGGAGGGAATAAGTGAGGAAAAGAAGAATAACCTGCCTCCCCGTGCCCCGCCCCTCAAAGGAGCTCTGAGTGCAGGAACCAGACGTTTTGCTTGAAAGTTTGGGGAATTTTAGAAGTATTTTGCGTGAAAAGTAAGATCATTTGTGTTACAGAGCTCACATTTCATCGACATGAAAGAAAGGGGGCCGTAGCAATGAAGGGACTTTGGCAGACAGAAGGCCTCACAAGAATGAACCAGTGGTCCCGACTCTTCCCAGGTCTGCCCACATCGGGCATCCAGCGGGTTGGTGGCCAGGAAACCCTATGTCCTGGGAACGGCCTTCCATAGTCTCTCTCCCGAATTTTCTTTCTGACTTCCGCACTCTGAGGAGCTCTAAGTAGAATTTTCAAGCAGGTAGAAAAGGTGAGAGCAGCGAATTCTAACGCTGCTTCAGGGGATGGCTCCAGCGGAGGCCCCGGGAGAGGGTGTCCCCTGGCCTCCCTCCCACAGCAGGAAGAGCTCCTGGGCATCCGAGCGTGCCCCACCGCCACCAGTCGGGGACAGGGAGCCAAGACCCTGAGACAGCAGAGGCCCACCCTGCAGAGACAGACCCTCAACAACAAGAGACAGCGAAGGTGTCAGTTAACCCCGGGGAGACGGTGGGGGAGGCAGCAGGGAAGGAGCCCAGGCCTGTCCAGTAAAGTTCCAGAGCAGACGAAGGGCCGGCAGCGCATTCTGCAGGGCTAAGCAAGGAGCCCGGAAGAGGGGTGCTTCAGTGGGAGACACAAGACACAAGAGGGGGCTGACGGGATGGACCAGGGCACAGAGAATGGACGCAAGCGGGCAGATGAGCAAAGTGTGCTGGGAGGGAAGAGCCAGCATAAAGATGTGGTTACACAGGCAGCAC